GATCTATCGGGTCGGATCTATATATTCTACTAGTATTAGTTAGATACCTATAGTAGTACTAAGTACTATAGGCTTTCTAATAATAAGATTATATTCTAAAGGCTCTTTATTTTATTCTATAATAAAATAGTTATTAAATATAAGCTAGAAATAATTATATAAGTTAAGAGAATAATATATTATAGTATACTACTAATATTATTAAGAACTACTAAGCTAATAAGGAAATGAACTAGATAAAATAGCTACTATAATTAGTTAATTTTAACCTTATTTCTAAGAGAAAGTATAAGGTTAGGAATATAAAAGATATATCATACGCTTTTATTTAAACGTAGATATAAATATTCGAGGATTTACTTCTTAAGCTATATAATTCTATACTGGCTAAATATACCGCATATCTTAAGAATAAAAATAGGGTAATTAAGTACTAATTAGTTATTAATTAAGCTTATTTCTAATCTATTTATATATATTTTAGTAAAGTAATAGTAGTTTTAATATATAGGTATAATATTTAGCGGCCTAAGGGGTTCGGTATAAGCGAATTAGGTATAATATATTATATAATCTAGACTTTACTTAAGGTATATAGCTAGAGTTGTTTTCTACTTTAAATAGTATATTATTTTTGCCCCTGGAATTATCTTATATAGTAGTAATACTTTATTAAGTAGCACCGTTTATTAAACTAGCTAACTTGGACGAAGGGAATCCTAGAGAATTATAAACGAACTACTATGTAAGTTTACTTCTAATAAGAAAGGATTCCTAAGCGATTTAGACTTAAGATATACTAATTAGTATACCTAGAATACTAGCTATAAAAAGGAAACGTATTAGACTAGACTAATTACCTTTTAATATAATTCTAGCTTAACCATACTAAAATCTAATAGTTAAGACTTTATAGTTCTATAAAAGTAAAAGTATAACTGTGACGACACGTACGATATGTTGCTCAAGGAGCGTCCAAGGTGTAGGTTATGGAATCGTAGAACTGTCTATTCGAAGATTCTAAGCTAAGGAGAGAAGAGAAGAGAGCAGAGCTCGGGAGCCAGAGGTTCTTATATACAGGAGGTTGTGCCAAGCTATGGCTAACTGAGCCGGGCTCAGGAAGCACGGTATCCGCTTGTCACGGATGCCAACAAAGGATAAAGTGTATACAGCTTTTGAATCAATTGCTAGAACTAAAACCGTAGGTACGAAGAAATCAAAATATACAGGAGGTTGTGCCAAGCTATGGCTAACTGAGCCGGGCTCAGGAAGCACGGTATCCGCTGGGTTCCAGCCAGGGGCTGGTCTGAGGTGTAGTGGCGGTTAGAACCGTCACAGTAGAACGACGACCTAGTTTAGCTTTAAGTTAAGGATATAGAGTAAGAGCTACTTCTTCTTTTATCTCGGCTTCGATATTATAAACGAATATATTACTATATTTAAAGTAGAAGGTAATAGCGCTATAATTAAGCTTCTTAGAATAGAGGCGATATTAACGAATAGTAGATTTAATAATAGATTATTAAATAGCTTTAATTTAAGGGGCTATAATTACTTTAAACTTTAAGTAATATAAATAGAATACCTGTCTTTTAGTAGTAGTTTAGGAATTAACGATTTTATAAGATTTCGCGCTAGCGTTTTTTTTAGTAGTTATGTGACGACACGCACAGCTGATGGACCGCGCAAGAGTGCACGACTACGTCAGGTATCACGAGTGGTGAGATTGACACTGTGGAACTGTCTATACGAAGATTGTAAGCTGAGGAGAGAAGAGAAGAAAGGACAGAAGCTCAGGAGCTGGAGGCTCTTATATACAGGAGGTGTGCCAAGCGCACCTACTTAGCCGAGTTCCAGCCAGGGACTGGTCTGGAGCATGGTTGCCGCAGGGTTCCAGCCAGGGGCTGGTCTGTAGCGTAGTGGCGGTCAGAACCGTCACAAGTTAGGCTACTAAAAAAGTATAGATTATAGAAAATCCCGAAAAATTAAGCTTAATTCGTAACTAACTATACCTAGGTTAGTGAAAAATAAGAGTGAATAATTATTCAAGCTCTTTATATAACTATTTTAGTTGTACGACGCTTTTAGAATATTTTATTCTAAGAGGTATATATAGAGTAACGACTATATCTCTTATACGCTTTTAAAGTTAATATACTAAAAGTCTAGTACAACTTATTTAATTGTACTGTTTTACCTAGGTTCATAAGGAGTGAGAAGTATTAATTATTCTAAAGTATTTATGTAATTAATTAATTAACTTAGTTGTATGAGGTCTTTAGGATAATATTTTTATAACTCAGCTATATACAGAGTATACGTAATGCCCGCCTCTCTCACATAGTAAACATAAGAAGACAGACAACTCGGTACAAGGCAAGATAACACTTTTATGCCCATTCTAGAGACTGTGCTTTGTTAGGCTAAGATATACTTAGTATATCCCAACAGAAACTTTGGTCAATTACTAATTAGCTATCGAAGAAGTGGCTGTCCGATTCCTGCGGATGCCCCAGCGTAATGATCTCCCTGTTTCCTACTTTTCTAAAAAAAATCAACCTGTGCACTCTGCGAAATTGCCCAGTTGTGTGCAGAATTCAGTGTCGGTCATCCAAGGCAAAGCGACACCATCTCCCAGGTGTTCTGTCCCACTTATGCTTCCAGAAAGCCAAGTTAATAGATGGCATTTTACTTTGGTCCCTACCTTGTTTATGACCCCATTGATATATGTCTGCTTTGGCCTTGTTGAGCTCTTGTCTCCCTATGGCTCGATCATCATGTGGCGGTAGATAATCCTCTCCCATGGGCACAAACTCGAGTCTGCTCGGATCGGGCGGATCCAAAGCACAGCATTTTGTAGAGAAAATGATAATACCGCCCAAATGGTCCAGTAAAGGGAGGCTGAGAAGGAATCCGCGATGAATGCTTGCAAAAGCAACACGAGCCATCCCCTTAGGAAGCTCCATGATGGTATTCTTAATTTGATCACCCATGTGGCACGACCAGCGATCCAAAGGACGGTCCGGGTCTGAAAAGGCTCCATAGTCACCAAATGAATCGCAGTACCCCCAGCCAGCCACAACAAGTGTGTCATTAGCCCAATTGATCCAGATGCTTGTGTTGCAAGACTTTCGCAATCCACGTTCCTTGACCGATACATTGAAGCACGCGACAGATTCCTGGTTGGTTTTTTCCGGGCGATAGTATTCAAAGCCAATAGCACGAGCCTCAGAGTTGACATGTAGGATTGTTGGCGGTTGACGTGCGCTAGTTTTGTAGCAGACAAACTTCTTGCTTCTTGCTTCTGGTGATTCGAACCCATGGCAAGTGGCGTATTTCTTCGTCCAGGGTCGTAACTTTGACCGTCGAAGATAGTAGAAGCATCGTGGGGTGATAACAACGTTTTTCGGTTCGCAGCATGCAAAGTACCCCCATATCATAATACCTAGTTCCGGGAGAAGTCTCGGGAAACAGGTGAATGCCGTTAGGATTGTGGTTGTGTTTGAAGGTCTCGAATCACGGATTTGGCGGGGTATCAAGTGAAATGATCTCGAGGGGCGTGATGGCAACTGGCCGACTGGTGCGGGCAGTAAGCCGCGATTGACAGGTGCCATTGGTGGTCTCCCGAAGAGAGCCTTTCGAAGATAGCCTACACATAAGCCGAGAAGGTGAAGGTACAAGATATACTGCAAAAATTGCAAAAACTGCTAAAGTCAAGTCAATTCATTGAATTGAATAGCTATTAGGAGGAGGGCTGCAATTACCATTGTCAAAAGCACAAAGAGCTGTTAAGCTTTGACTGGGGACCTTTGAAAGAGGAAGAGACGAGGCAAAGAGTATTATTGTCAAGGTATTACTAGAAGCGATGAGATACAAAGTCGCATCGCTATTTATACTAAACAAAGTCCCCACCCATTCCCGATTAGACAACTCCTACCCCTCACTGCTATTCACTAAGCGAAACATATTCACTAGTCCATTCGTACCCTTACACTTACTAGCGAGGGTAGAATTATAGCTAGAATCCGAAGGTAATTATTAGCTTCTAAGAATTATTTGAGAGCTTTTAAAACTATCTAGTGTAAGTAAACTTCTCCTTAAAGCTTCTACAAAGTTACAAGATACCTAGGTATACAGTGGGAGGAATTTCCTACTCGTATTTATAGTCAGCGTGGTAACACTTCTAATCAAATACTCAACCCGACTAGAGTACTAATCGAGTTGAGTTGAATAAGTATGATTAGGTGACTTCGTTGAGTTGAGTTGAGTGGTAGATTTGACTATTTGAGTAGTACTCGAGTAGTTATACATACGTGACTATAATATAAAAAACTCCCGTTAGGTTGTCCTTAAATACCTACGTGATAGTATATATATAATATAGGGGCACTCGGTTACGTAAGAGACATGGTCGTTACTCTATATATACCTCTCTTAGAATAAAATTATTCTAAAAACATCGTACAATTACAATAGTTATATAAAGAGCTCAAATGATTGTTGACTCTTACTTTTCACCGACCTAGGTATCCTAAGACAATCATCTTACTTGTACTATAAGTTTAGTATAATAGAGTTTATATAGTGTATACAGAGGAACGACCAGGTATCTTACAAATGTGTAGACCGACTACCCGGAGCCCGGCGAGCGAGCCTGGGCGCGCTACGGGCTATCGGACCGACACTACTCGAGTTGAGTTGATTAGGTGCCACTACTTAATTCAACTACTCGAATTTACTACGCTGCTTATAGTTACTGAATTTTACGTCTAATTAGTTTGTACTAATTAGTTTGTACTAACTAGTGATACTCTTGTAATATTTACCAGTAAATTAGTAATTACGAACACGAACTTCTCTATTTTCTATATAAAGGAAGTAGTTGGGTCTCGAATTAAAATCAGAGACATTCGGGATGTCAGGATCAACGTAGGGATATCACAATTGATTGCCGATATTGATGGCACAATGTTTCGCATGTCTTCATAGCTCACTGGTGAAATGAATTTATATTTTCGAGAAGCTTAAGCGTCATCGCCATCTCCACCATCACCTCTTTCTTCTCCAGCCCTCTTTCTCAAGTTCTCGAGCCCATATAATAAATTCTTTAGCTTTGAAATATTATGCTTCTCGTCCTTTGGCGCCTCTGATCTGCTAGGAAGCTCGTCACCAAGGGTCAATACTCCATCAGAGAGGATCAGGTGTTGTAGCGGGTTGATGAACTGGTCATCCTTCTCTCTAGGCTCTGCTGTGGTACCTGGTTTGTTGATGTAATCAATAGAGACTATGACCGAGCTCGCCGTGTCGGTTTCTGTTGAGGGGAAGAATACGAGAGAAAGAGGGTTGCCAATTAAAGGAAGTGTTTGAGCGTGGGTGAGCTTGTTTTCTTCCGAGGTGGCGAATACGAAAAGTGCTGGAATACTGCATTTGGATTAGTGGGAAAGTAGTATTAGGGAAAGGACATGACATACGCTTCATAGGTGAAAATGATAATATCTTTAGACGATTGTCTGGTATGGTAAATACCCGAAACAGTTGTTTTTCTCTCCTTCAAATCGAAATCTTTCAAGGCATCATTGATATGAAGCAGAGGCTCAACTTGACTCAGTAAGGATCCCTTTACCCAGTCAAATACTAGAACATCGGATTCTCCACCACCAGAGATGAGAAGTTCTGGACGCGACTCCGGAATGCAAAGACGACTGATGAAGTCTTTGTGTCCAAAGCAGAACCCTTCAATAATATGGGTATATGGGATACCGCGGTTAACACGGATATGCTCATCTCTATCGGCTGTGATAATGTAATCCCGCCCATCCGAGGTTGCAAGCTTTAGTTCTGTCAGTAAAGAAACGTGACCAAGTAAGAGAGTGTGCTCGAAATCAGGCTCAGTCTTCTCAGGTGCTGTATTGGTTTGCCGTTTTTGGTTTTCAAGTGCTTTGCGATTGCGTTGAGAGTGAATAGTCAACTCATTGGCGGCTGGCTTGAAGGTTCGTTCTGGGAGTGAGGATGACTCTCTGGAAGTTTGTTCTGGAGTAGCTTGAGGTTTGGGTATTGCTGATGGAATGAGGGGGAGGGAATAGACATCTCCAAATTTATCGGCGCTGATTATTGTTGCAGAGTCTGAGCTGATGGCCACTGCGGATGGTCGTTTCGGCATCACGCTATGAATTCGTTAGACTCTAGGGTTTCTTTCAACACAATACTGAGATCATACCGCTGACTGAGATGATTGAGGATTGGGTTTCCTTCTTTCACAACGATTTCAAATACCCGAATACATTTATCTTCTCCTGTGATTGCTACTACATGTTGGGCATTCTTGGCTACAGCAAGAGCAATGACTGATGGAGGTTCCTGAGCATTTGCGATCGAATCGGTTCTGTGATTCGGCCTTTGCTTCTTTTGCTGTTTCTTTCCCCCATTATCATTGACTTTTGGCTCAACTTTGGGTTCTGATTTCTCCTCCACCTTTTCCTCGGATTTCTTTTCGTCCTCGGTATCAACTTTCCTCCGTTTTGCTGGGGGCGCTGAAGCATCGACTTCGCCTTCTAGGGGAGCTTCTTTGATCTCTTGCTTCTTGGTGATTTCACCGCCATTTGTCTTTCCTTTTGAGGGTACCTGCGGCAATGGACAACTCCACGTCGAAATATATTCGCCATTGCTGAGGTGGAATAGGTCAATGTTGGAATCTCTCGCGGCTACAAGATATTCGCCGCACTTTTCTAAACACTGATACGGCATGATGAGAGGAAACTTTCACTTGTCGGAGGAAGTGATTCGAAAGTCGTTGCAAAGGTGACTTGGGCTAGAACTATGACTGGAGAGTTCGAAGAAAAATCTCGAGGGGGCGTATCGATAAAGATAGCACGTGCTGATAAGGATAAGACTTTGATGTCACGTGCTCCACACAGCGAAATTCTGCATTTTGCTTCAATACTCGCATCGAGTTGTTCGCTTCCTCATCAACAACTTTCCAACGTCAATTCGACCACCCAGCAACCCTTTCAAATTCATAAATCTGACCCTTAAACATCCTACCTTCAAATTAAGAAGATATGGGGGGCAGATCCGCAAACAAGTCCGGCTACTTTGAGAAGCTCAAGGGTCTCCTCGAGGAGTACAAGAGCATCTTCATTGTCACCGTCGACAATGTCTCCTCGCAGCAGATGCACGAGATCAGACACGCCCTCCGTGGAGATGGTGTTGTCTTGATGGGAAAGAACACCATGGTACGTACGATCCAAGCTCCAGGTTCATACCGCTGGCGAAAACGCGATTGCGATCAACACCAACGCAAAATCGCAACCTCAAGCTGACCTATTTTTTCTATAGGTTCGTCGTGCCATCAAGGGCTTCGTCGCCGATTCCCCCGAGTACGAGCGTCTCCTTCCTTTCGTCAAGGGTAACGTCGGTTTCGTCTTCACCAACGGCGACCTCAAGACCATCCGTGATGTGATCATGTCCAACAAGGTCGCTGCTCCTGCCAGAGCTGGTGCCGTTGCTCCTGCCGATGTCTACATCCCAGCTGGTAACACTGGTATGGAACCCGGAAAGACCTCTTTCTTCCAGGCCCTCGGTGTCCCAACCAAGATTGCCCGTGGTACCATTGAAATCACTGCCGAGTTGAAGCTTGTCGAGGCTGGAAACAAGGTCGGGGCCTCCGAGGCTACCTTGCTCAACATGATGAGCATTTCTCCTTTCACCTACGGTATGGGTATCTCCCAAATCTACGATGACGGAAACACTTTCCCACCACACGTTCTCGATATTGAGGAATCCCAACTTCTCAAGACCTTCTCCAGCGCAATCACCACCATTGCTGCCATCTCCTTGGCCGCCAACTTCCCAACCCTTCCATCTGTTATCCACTCTGTTGTCAACAGCTACAAGAAGGTTTTGGCCGTTGCTATCGCCACCGAGTACGAGTGGGATGAGATCAAGGAGTTGAAGGACCGTATTGCCAACCCAGAGGCATACGCTGCCGCTGCACCAGCTGTTTCCTCATCTGCCGCCCCAGCCGCCGCTGCTGCTAAGGAAGAGGATACGAAGGCCGATTCCGATGAGGAGGACTCTGATGACGGAGGATTCGGAGACATGTTCGGTTAAATCGGTCTTGATCTTGCATCGATTCATGAAAAATTTGGGTTCTATGACACGAATTAATGACATCAATGTAGCTCACAAAGAAGCACATATTTACAACCTTGGGCTTCTTGTGGAATTTTCGAGTGACGTGAAATGCTGAACTTCAACATACTTCACGCAGCATTTCCAACTTGAAATAAAAGGTCAGTCAACATTTCCTCCTCTTCTAAAACCTCCCCACGCATTATGATGAACAATTCAAAGCTTTTTAACCCTTAATGGAGATTGATCCTTGAAGACCAAAAATAACAACTCTAATTTTTTCCTGATCGCTCTTTCAATTCTACCTTCATTCAGTTACATACCAACTACCTGGGGAATATTTGCTGATTATTGTACAGAATTATACAATGGATTTCTTTTCCAATACCGCCTTTGCGACAGTAATAGCCTCCTCGGGTAACCCAGCAAGCCTTGCAACCTTCAAAGCGTGACTACTCCGATTGACTCCTTCCCTTAACTTGTGTACATACCTAAACCCTTCACCGACGTCGTCTTCCTGAACGTCTGTGCAATAAAAACCCACTCCCTCCATCCCACCAGCAATTGCCATGTCTGCCAGATCATGAAAATGCGTGGCGAAAAGCGTCCTACATTTGTTAATGTGATACAAGTGATGTAAACATGCAAATGCCACGGCAACTCCGTCGGTTGGTGTCGTTCCTCGGCCTATCTCGTCCATAATGACAAAAGAGCGTGAAGTTGAATGTTTGAGAATGGCTGCGGTCTCCAACATCTCAACCATGAATGTGGACTGACCTCGATATAGGTTGTCTGCCGAACCCACGCGGCTAAATATTTGGTCCACGATCCCAAGCTCCGCATATTCAGCTGGAACATAAGACCCTACTTGAGCGAGGATTATAATGAGGGCATTCTGGCGCAGAAATGTACTTTTTCCTGCCATGTTTGGACCAGTGATCAACCATGTTCTCTGGACGTCGCCAACGAAACAATCATTGGTTGTAAAGGTTCTGCCCTCCTCCTCGAGTCCTCCTTCAACCGTCGGATGTCGTCCTCCTACGATCTTATTCGTACTCGATCCATTCAACATCGGCCTCGTCCAATTTTTCTCTATCGCAAGAATCGCGAATGAAGTCCCAATATCAAGCTCATCGAGCACTTCGGCATTCTTTCTGAGCTTCACGATGTTGTGTATGACCAGTTCTCTCAGATTTCGAAACACCCGTTGTTCTTCTGATCGTATACATTCCCGGGTTTTGTCAAGACGGGTTCCCAAATCGGTCCATTGGGGATGATGGAAAGAGGTTGTGCTTTTGGATGAACTGACTCTCGTTCCCTCGACGATTTTTCGCTGTACATCTTTTCCTCTGATGTGACAGATGTGTCCTAAACCTGGACTGAAACGCAAAGTTAAAGAAGGTGCTTGGAATCGCTCTCGGAGATTGTCTCCCAAAGATGTCTTTTCGTTTGTGAGTGTGATGAGTTCTTGATGTAGACGCTCAAGGGTGGGACTTGCTCCAGGTCTCATGATCCAAGCTTCTCCATCGTCCGAGTAATGTTCTCTGATGCTTGTAGGTTTCTTCCTCTTTCTTAGAAGGGAGTTTGCATCGTCTTGTGAGCCTTCGGAGGAAACAATTTCTTGAGCTAATGCCTGCATGGTTTCTGCTTTTTCATTGTCGAGGATATGTTGTTGGACGACTCCCTCTTCATCGATGGCTGCTCGAATGCGTTTTGCGAGGGCGGAGGGACCTTTCAGTATCATGCGTGAGGCCAGAGATACTATACATTCTTCTTCTGAAGTTGTCATCTCTTGAATGAGAAGAGAGATCAGTTCTTTGGTTGCTTGGATGGTGTCTGCCAGAGCGAGAAGGTCGTCTGCATCTCCACGACCGAAGGCGAATTTCTGGAGAATACGATGAGAGTCGTGGCTTCGGCGGAGAAGAAGGGTGATTCGTTCGCGGAGGAGCGAGTCTTTGATCATGTACGTGACAAGGTCTAGTCTTGAGTTTATTATACTCAAAGATGTAGAGGGAGAGCCTGGCATGGGTTAGCAAATGCATACTATGGAGTACAGGTATCCTACTCAGCCAACTGTCTAGCAGCCTTGCCCCGCCTTTTGTGACAGTCTTCCGAACAGTATGTAACAAACTTCCTGTAAAAAGATCATCATGGATTGTCTTTTTGATTTCCAACGCTCTCATCGTGTTCTTGTCGATTCCCATCACGTCAAGCTGTCTGGTTGGGGGTTGTAATTTCGTGTTTGAGCCCTGCAACCTAGTTTCAACATATTGAAGTACCGTACTACCAGCCGCAATCTCTTCTAAGGAGAAGGTATCGGCTACACTGGGAGGTATTGCGGATTCCAACATAGGTGTCCACTCTTTCATTGGCCTGATGCCTGATAATTGTGTAAATGCGACGAGTTGTCGATCTTCCTCTAGGACCTTGAGAAGCTCGGGATTCTTTGAGTTTTTCAGTTCCTCGTCCAGCACAATTTCTCGAGGTCCGATTCGAGCAATGAACGATGAAAGTGCAGTCAAATTTGTAGACTGAGTAAAGAAATGGCCAGTTGATAGATCCAACCATGCTAGGCCAACGAGAGAAGACGAACCATCAAGGTCACCCTCCAAGGTTTCTAATTCTTTGTCAAAATGAACAGCGAGAACGTAGTTGTTGGTAAATGGGTTCATGAAATCCTCATCAATCAGAGTTCCCGGTGTGATGATCCTCTCAACTTTTCTATCATTCATCAACCCGCCAGCTTTTGATTTCTCTTCAGCATCGTTCTTGGTTTCTTCAGCAATAGCAACATAGCGATTCAGATCCTGAACGAGAATTTTGAGGTACCGATCTAATTGGAAGAATGGAAACCCAGCCTATGCAATGTGTCAGATGGACTAAATTAAGGCTCATAATATGGATGATAGTAACAGACCATAGACACATATTGATGATTAGGCGCCTTCCCAACCTTCTTTTTCCCGACCTTCAAATTCAATAAAGGTCCAAACTCATCCGCATGCTCAAAGTACAATTCATAAAACCCCCCGACGCGAGTCAGTAACACGCAATTCTCAAATTTCCTAATATTATTCTTGGCTTGTAAAAGTACAGTCGGCAGAGTTTGAGTCGCCTCTTCAAGAGGGAGAGGATCTAATGGAATGACGCCTTGAGGAAGTTCAATATCCAGAAGGTTTGCGGTGCTGGACCGTTTGGCGCCCCTATTCTGTTGCCAAGGCTGGCGTGAAGGTTTTGGTTTGATATTTTGGAGTGGAGATGATGATATTGATAATGCGTGATAGCTTCGTCCGATGAGCCGACATGATGAGACGGCCTTGATGCATCTATATGGGCGAAGCATTGGTGTGCTTGTCGATGTGGGCATTGATGGTATAGATGCATGGAAAGACAAACTTTTGTTCAAAAACGTGACTGTGATACCTGGGTAGCGCACGGACAAAAACTCCCGCTTATTTTGCCCAGCGCGTGGTCATCATAGGGAAGGTAACACCAACCTCGACAACCAACAAATCTATGTTTTTCTCTTGAGAGATTGCTACTTTGATCTGGTAACTCCTCTTACGGAGACTAGCGTGTTCGAGTTAGTGAATTTCCACAACCAATACTCAGATTGTATTCGTTTGCAATAGAGACCAACTTCGGTTATCTCAATGTCTCTATGCTCAAGCCAAGTCTGAATCTTGCTATATCGCTTCTCGTCTTATTACGCCCATCCAAAATCAAAGGCCCCTTCAAACACTACTCACAATTATCCACCATGGCTACCTCTCCTCCAAAGCGTTCCTTCATTCTGGACTTTGATGGTACAATCACAACCAAAGACACGATCTCCACATTATTTAAAATCGCTCTCGAAACCCAATCCTCAAAAGGAAAAGACAAGTCTCAAGCACTTCAAAAAATAATTTCCGAATACTCCGCGGACTTCGAGACACACATATCATCTTACACGCCAAAGAAGGAAGACCAAGTCACAATCCAGCAAGAAATCGACTATCAAAGAAGCTTGAGAGATGTGGAATTGAGGAGCTTCAACCGAGTCAGCAAGTCAGGGATCTTTGCTGGACTTGATGAGGAGGAGTGGTGCTTCCGCGCAGGTGAAGCCATTGAACAAGGTACCGTTGAATGTAGACTCGGCCTTCGTGGATTCCTTTCCACTATAAGAGGAAGGCGGGCGCTATTTGATGATACAGTGGCGAAAGGGAGATGGGGAATTGTATCCGTCAATTTCTCGGCCAATTTTATCAAAGGCTTTCTAGTGGGCTTGCTTGTAGATGATATGGTGGAAGGAATTGAAATACTCGCTAATGAACCAAGGGAAGAGGATGGTGTACTTGAGGGGCCAATGATAAGTGGAAAGAAGGAGGTGATTGCGACCTCTGATGGGAAATTGAAGGCTATGAGGGAGTTAATACAGAGATGGCAAGAGAAGGGAGAGGAAATAGGACAAGTCTTTTACTTTGGTGATTCCGGCACAGATTTGGAGTGTTTGACAGAAGCGGATGTAGGGGTGATTCTCTCTGACAACCAAAACGGTCCGCTGATGGATACGATGAAGAGACTCAAAATGGAAGTCTCGCATATTGATGATTACAAGGAAAGGGATGGGAATGCATTGTACTGGGCGCCAGATTTCAAAATTATCAGAAGCACCATTTTCGGATAATATGATCTAGAAATGGTTTTCATTCACTGTCAATCTGCTGATTAAAGAAGCGGTAAGATACCCGGTCATTACTCTGTAAGAGAGGCGATCATTGCTCTGTACACGCTATCAAAAGCTATTAGGTCAAAACTCTGGCACAAGTAACTCAATTGTCCTATTTCACCTAGTACAATAAGAATTAAAACTAACAATTGTTCTAAACCATTCGTATAATTGATTTAATCATGTGAGGTCTAGGATAATATTTTAATAACTCAGGTGTGTACAGAGTACGAGTGTTGCCCGCCTCTCTTACACACTATATAAGAAGTTATTATACTAAACTTCTAGTATAGTTAAAATAATCGTATTATTATACCTAGGCCCATTGAAAGTAAGCAGCAACAATTGTTCTAAGAGAGGTGTATACAGAGTAACGACCACGTCTCTTACTGTATCTTCCATCTAAAATCAAGCTTTTTCCCCCACTTGACTCAATCAATAATACCTATAACTTCCTGCACCGACATAGCAGAAATTCTGACTGGTGTATTGGTATAAGTTTATGCTGTAAACCCCTCTAAATAATTGAACAAGAAGATCCGAAAAGTAACTTTCATTAAAGTATCTACACAAGCATTCCCTTCGTATGGCGCCAAGATACTTCCAAGGGCATGTAAATTCAAGACCTTGCTTGAGATACCATACCCATCCAGCAATAGAAGCAAGGATATGTGGTCCCACACGCCTAAAGACACCCCCCAACCCCCACCGATTTTGCGTCGTGAGACCAGATTCTATGAATACATTATTCGTTACAGTTCCTGCCCAGCCCATGTCACTCCTCCAAATACAAATAGGCACCCTTTTTCCATCTTTGCCCTCTAGAGCCGATTTTCTCAGCCAGTAGCCATGATCGCACGCTTGATACCAATTATCTTGGAAATATTAAGTCGTTTGTAATCGGGCGGCATGTGCTCACCACTCGCAATGCAAAGAACCTTCATTCGCTTGTCGTATCGTAGGCCAGTAAGGAGTTTAGGAGTGATCAAGAAGTACTGGCTCGTATGCTCCTTACAAGCAATTTCAACCATACGCTCATGTACCATACGTTCGTTGCGAGGATCCATGCCTTGGTTGATTTCGTCAACAACGCGGAATGGTGCCTTGGCCATGGATTGCAGGGACATGAGGTAGAAGATGGTCGATACAGATCTCTCTCCTCCCGACTGACGATGAGCGTCGAGGATTTGCAAAGATTCGTTCTCTCTGTAACACGTTAGAGAAGATCGCTACGCAACAAGATGTTAGCACGTACCTGAATTTTACCTTAATTTCGATTGCCCAATCTGAAAAGTCTTCGGCCTTATTAACACTGACCTCCCCAGCGCAACCGATCTGTTCAAAGTTGTAGGCGAATGCCGTACTAATCTCTCGAATCAGTTCATCAAGCGCAGGCTCCCAGACTCCGCGAATGCGAGTAATCCTGCCATCGATCCTCTCTAATTTGCTCTCTGCTTCTCCAACCCTTTCGGTCACCTTTTCCAGCTCTGCCTGTCGTAAATCATAATCTCTCTTTGCGTTGGGGTTATTGGCATGGAGAAATTCGAGCTTCGATTCTTCGGCCACAATCTGCGCCTCTAAAATTTCGACAGTCAAATCTTCCGGAAGGTTGGAATATACTGAAGCGTCCTCCTCATTGGCATTAATTTCCTGCGCCGCCTCTCTAGCCAATTTTGCCTTATTCTTTGCAACCGTTGACTGCTGCTCCACCTCCTTGACCTGTGCGCGTTCGCGAGCGAGGAGCTCTTCCGTGTCTTTGTTACGTTCCTTAAGGGCTTCAATATCAGACTTCGCTTCGATATTCATGATTTCTGCTTCCAACAGGTCTTGGTGACATTCTCTGATCTTGGCAAGGACGCTTTTAAGGTCAATAGCAAACTTTGCCTTTCTAAGAACAGCAGTGTCGATTTGGCGTTGAAATCTGTTCACTTTTGCCTTATGCTCCTTCATCATCGCTCGTTTTGCCTCCAGGGTTTCTTCATCGCGCTCTACCAGAAAATTAGCAATGCAACTACAAATGGACATGATCAACTCACTGAGCTTATCGGGAAGAGCAGCTCGTGTAGAGTGAGCCTTTTGGAGACGGTTTTTCTCATCTTTTACGCGGTTCTATTTGACATGTAAGCATTTGTACAACGGCCATGTTAACGATGGACCCACTTTCGCATCCTCCAATTCTTGGATGACAGTCTTCAATTCTGCCATTCTTGTCCTGGCCGCTGTTATCTCTGACTTGAGAATTGCAAATTCCTCAGTCAAGGTCCTCATCTGGGCTCTTATCGCCTCTCGTGCAGCACCATCTACAGGCTTGTCGACCCAGAAAACTGCAGGCGGAACAGTCTTGGTAGTTGTGGAAACAGCCTGAGGACCATATTCCTTTCTCCTGGAAACCGAATAAGCACTCTTGCCCGCTACAAACTGAACTAATCTGCCATCTTGGAGGATTGTATCGTATTGCTGTGTGGTGATGTCTTGAGCTGCAATTGCAGATTTATTTAGACCCCTTGTTTCGCAAAGCATGGCTAAAACGGGCTCCGGTCCATCAATATAGTCTAAGGCCCAGCCGTTCAGACCAAATCGCTTTAGTTCTTCTGCAGGTAGAGATGAAGAGGCATGAAGGCTGGATACATCTGATACCATTTTGAGTGGAAAAGCAGCGAGTTTCTGTCTTCCATAAAGCTCGTCATTCAACTTCTTGAAATCGGCACCGGTTTGTACCGTAATTGTCAAAAAGTCATTTTTGCGGAGAAATGATTCAATGACGTCCGTATACCTAGGGTCCTTGATTGAACATGAAATCAAAGGGGGGCCGTACACCTCTTTTTCAAATTCTGTTCGGTGATTCTGGATCCATCTCCAAGCCTTACCAGTTTCCGGCGACATCTGATCGAGCTTGGATAATTTTTTCCCGTCCTGAGTGTCGAGATCTGCAAGTTCTTGTCCTTTAGTAGTAAGTTGGTTCCGATTCTCTCTTCCTTGAACCTGTGAAATGCGGTCTTTTTCGGCAAGCTCAGTTTCTTCGGCCTTTGCGGCTCGGATCTCGCGATCTTTGGATTGCTAAGGACCGTTAGTACAGACATAGAACAAGGACCATTTGCTAACCATCTTGTCATTGAGTTCGACCACATTGAAATCGGGTATAGGGGTTTTGAGTTGCGACGTCAGAGACCGGATTTTTGATCCAAGACTTGTAATATCCTGCTTTGTCTTATTGGAAGCTCCCTCCTCTGCTACTATAGATTGGTTGATATTTTCGATACCCTCCTCCTGATTGGTAATGCTTTTGATCAGCTGGTCTGCTTCTTTTTCTGCCAACTCTACAGCTCTTGTACGTGCTTGTACAGCGACCTTGATAAGACCTTGGTACTCCTCCTTGCGGCGAACGGACTCCAAAGTTGGTCCAAGGCGGGCTTCCAAGGTTCTCAATCTCTGTTGGGCCTCTTCTTTGAGCTTTTTAAGCTCGAAATGCAGTTTCCGGGCATTAAGATACTCAACGAAGGGAATTGTGTTATTGAGCACTCGTATCTTTTCTTGAACTTCCTCCAACTCTTCCAACTTCTGTACCTCGGCCCTAAGGCTTGCTTGCCGTTGCTCGAGCGTCTGTACGGTTTCGCGATCGCGCAGGACCTGTCCTTCGAGATCCTTCTGGACCTTCCGATGTTTTTTCAGTTCCTCGTGCTGTTCTAGCATTTCTTTGGGAGCGGCCGCACGTTGAGTTTCTTTCAATAGGTTGACCGGTGTTAATTCTGCAAATTCAGCTACTTTCTCCTGAGGAAGAAATTGACATAAGTTGTCAACCTGGATATTAAAGTCTTTGGTCAACTCCTTAACTGCTGTGAGTGAAGTTTTCTTGTTATCCAACCACCACTCCCGATCGTGAGGAGTACCATCTCGATTTATCTTTAGCCGGACGATATGATTCCTAGCCTCATCAGGTCTGCGGTGAAGTTCGATTTCGACAAATGCCTCCCGGTTGCCGTGTTTGACAAACTCTCCAATCTTGCCAGCTCTTGCTAGTGTTACAGGTCCCCAACCAAGACCCAAGCATATAGCACAAACAAGAGAACTCTTTCCGGTACCGTTAGGGCCGATGACCATATTCAAACTTGGTCCAGGAAAGAATTCGGCATCCTCATATGTAATGAAATTGGTCAACTTGACGCGAACAATTGCTCCAGGTTGGAAGGCCGACATATCGACTTCACCTCCATCGCTACCTTCGTCATCGTCATCCTCGTCATATTGTTCTTGCCGTCGTGATCGTTGTGGTGCGGAGTGTGCAATGCGGGCGCGCTTTGCAGAGTCGTGTGAAGAGGCAGCAGAGCCTTGAGTTATCCTTGGATTGTCTGCATCGTCGTCATCTTCATATTCAAAGCGTCCCCTTCGGTTTGATTCGGAAGGGGAGGACATCTTGCGATGTTGTTGTTGAAGTTGAGATGAGGCTTTGTGGGATGGTCTTCAACTTCAACTTGAGTGCAGTTAGACGCGACGTGAAACTTGGCGGGGATCACCTCATCACGTGTGTTATAGTACGCCAAGCTGCAGGTGGATAGTTCGGATGGTGGGGCGGGCAAGTGAAGGGCAACGTCAACCCAAGTCGAGTGTCCTCGCACCTTCCATCACTTCTACTATATGAGCTTACCAATTAAGAATCAATGACTCAAACAACCAGACTTGTCTCTTTTGGCCAGAAAACTACCAAAAATACTTTATCTAACTCCTAAAAGATTTTGGAACATCATAACCTGACGAGATTATACTACTAAATAATTTATTATTTTGATGTAAGTCCCGTAAATACCTTTCTTGATTATAACTATCCTACCTACCTAGGTACTATTACACAATGAAGTTTTATTCCTTCTTTTAGGCGGTGCTTTACAAAAGTTATTCTTACCGAATAAATGCCTTCTGGAAAGCCAAGTTCATTCACCCGCAGTCGTCAGACGGACTCAGAATGGCTGAAGTGAAGTACAACAATACTTGGACTTGGTTGCAGAAACACAGGTTTCCCCACAGTCCAACCAATTATACTGTAACCATCTTCACTCCCAAAAAGAGTTACTCCAAAATGCTGTTCACTTAATACGGAGCGCTATCATAAGGAAGGTCTCAGATATCCTATTGATCACAATGCAATAATACCCACGCGAGGTTCAAGTCTAAATTTCTAATTATTATTTGGCTAATAAGCTTCCCTTTTGACACGGTCTATTTGACTCTAAAGTCAAGACTTGGGTAACTAATATATCTTTCCTTACTTATTACTGCACAACTATTTAGCGGTATTCATGTGTTGGAAAGGGCCTATATAAAAGCCACTTTGGCTAGTCAAAGAGCTCTGCGATTTATTGAGAGTGCTTCTATAGTTGTTTGGCATGCATCCATATACTAGAAAGAATTCAAGAGCTAACAAGCTGTAGTAAATCAATAATCTTTAATGAGAAAAGAAAAGCGAAAAAGATGTGCACAACAGAGGCTGAACTTCTGGCGATTGCTTCTTGACTCTTGACATGCGAGGCGAGAATAATGGTCTTATCTCTTTCGCTGAATACTGGTGTGATGTAGGTGAGTGAAGGATGTGGGGTCAATGGCGTCGGTGAGGCATCCAGACTGTTGAGACTCTGCATTCCTCTCTCACGTGAAGCGAAGTCAACATTGCCCACCTCACATCCACAATCCAACCCACCACACCCCAAACGTATCCCTACCAACCCCCCAAGTGCATCTGCGTCTGCATCTGCATCTTCGTACACGCAGCTTCATTGCCAATTGGCTTCATTTCTTTTTTTCCTTCTTGGAACGCACACTCGTTTGGCTCTTTCCTTCTTACGCGTTACGTTCTTGGTGTCTTTTTTCTTCAAGGGTTCTCTCCTCTTCACTGGCTACTCTATCACGAAATTCAACCCTTTGGACGCGTGCAGTAAAGAGTTGACACACCAATTTACCTTCAATTCTTCCAGCATCCATCAATTTTCTTGGACATGATTTCCTAAGAAGTCCGCCATCAACAATCATCATGAGCTCGCAGCTTCCTTCCCGGCCGCCATCGCGTCGCCCACCATTAGGTGAAGCAACACGACGAGTAAATAATGCACAGCAAGCCGATCCAACTTCCAGCCCAATGCCGCACCATGAGAGTCTCAAACCTGATGGGTTACTCCAAGTTCGCAACCCTCTTTCACAGGGAGAGTGTTATCCTTCAAACTCCCAACATGCTGCATCGCCAGGCTCCAATGTCGCGAATCCACGATTGTCTGCAATCTCCAAAGAAACTCCGACCGAATCGGCCTCTAATCGCAATTCGCAGATATCAACAGTCTCTACCAATGCTTCAGATGGAAAGCGACTCAAGCAAACAATCGGACCTTGGAAGCTTGGGAAGACTTTGGGAAAGGGAGCTACTGCCAGGGTCAGATTAGCACGACATGCCCACACAGGACAAGAGGCTGCAATCAAGATCGTACAAAAGAAGAACGCGCAGATGTCACAAGCTGGAAGTCTGGCTGCGCTTGATAGAGCTGAAGCTGGTCTGCCTGATTGTGAGGATGGGTTACGACGGATGCCAGTAGGGCTTGAAAGAGAGGTTGCTATCATGAAGCTCATTCAACATCCAAATATCATAAAGCTCTATGATATTTGGGAAAATCGTACAGAGATGTGAGTGCATATTGCCAGATCATCTTTTTCAACTTGACTTACTTTATTAGATACCTTGTCCTCGAGTTCGTCGATAACGGCGAATTGTTCGAGCACATTGTTGCAAAAGGAAGGCTGAGTGAGGAAGAAGCCATGAAGTACTTCCGGCGGATTTTGAGCGCTGTTGGTTATTGTCACTCTTTCAATATATGTCACCGAGATCTGAAGCCGGAAAACATTCTTCTGACACGCGACGGCAACATCAAGATTGCAGATTTTGGAATGGCTGCTCTGCATCAACACCCGGACCACAAACTCAAGACATCTTGTGGAAGCCCCCATTACGCCGCTCCCGAACTGATTAGGGGTGCTAATTACAAGGGTGATAAGGTTGACATTTGGAGTATGGGTGTCATTCTGTATGCCAGTCTCGCTGGTCGGCTTCCGTTTGATGTAGAGGGGTCAGGCAGAGATTGGCTTGGGCCTCTCCTCTCCAAGATTAGGAAAGGAAACTACGAGATGGCTCCAGAATTCAGCGACGATGCAGTCAGCCTCATCTATAGAATCTTACAGGTCGACCCAAGAACCCGGATCAGTCTAAATCAGATCTGGAGGCACCCTCTCGTCAGAAAATACGATTATTTGGATAACCTAGCAAGAGGCAACAATTCGCAATCTCCGAGTGCAAAAGACTGTGGTCGACCTGTCATGCGTCGAAGCGATATCAATAAGGAGCTGCTTCGCCATATGAGATCACTCTGGCATCGCTTCACAGAAGCCCAGCTCGTTGAGGCGCTTTTGAGTGAGGAGTAAGTCTCAACCCAGTCTACTTGGAGATATCTATGATCGAGACGAATGTCGAGCAAAATCTAATTGTGTTTAGATCAAATGACCAGAAACTATTTTACACCCTTCTTTTAAAGTATCGCGAAAGACAATTGGAGAACTATACCCCGGACCTTGGATATTCAACCAGCGACTATCATCACATTAGACCACCTACCATGAGCAAGTCATACTCCACGTTGAACTTCTCACAACCTAAGTTGAAAGGTCATGGTCGACAAGTTTCTTCATTCACAGTCATTAGCAACGCCGCTGAAACGGAACGCAGCTATGATCCCTTCAAAGCTTCGCGACCTCAACATCTAGATTCAAACCGTCGTACAGAACGTGCCAGAATCACTATTCATCGTGATCCTGATGTTGTAGAGGACAAAGCTTTGCAAAAACCACGAGTGACATCGCGAGTATCCATTAACAGCTCAGCCCTCCGAAGCAGACAAGGATTGGCGCCTCCCAAAGTTTGCGTATCAAGAAGCTCATTGGCGAGTTCTAGTAGAAGCCGTGGAAGTGCCCCGTATGTTCGAGCAACTGTGGGAAGAAGACGTGGCGTCAGCTTTACACACAATCGAAAACCATCTGGTGATAGCCATAGCCAACTGAACACTACCCCAGGCACCAAAAAGACTCGGAATCTTGAAAATCACGACATTGATGTTGAAGCTACAGAAGACTCCGGCGATTCTGCTCGACCAATTGCTACAGGATCCTCAGCACGCTATATTCGATCTAGAAAGGGGAACGTTGCAATCTCGCAGCAGTCAATCCCAGCACTCAAAAATGGCCGTACGAACCCATTGTGGACAGATGATGTACGCCAGCTAAGTAGCAGTCTGGCCAAAGATTGCGATGAGGCTTTCAATAGAACCAATGTTGGTGCCACCTCCAAACCAAGCGCAAAAGATTTAAGACCTTCTTCTCTGGAAAGCCGACCATTGCCCGCACCACCTTCTCGATCCGAGTCAGTCAAGATTGAACTTTTGGAGTATCGCAAGCAAGCAGAACTTAGAAAATCATCTGGAGATGACTCGCCAAGCCATCTTGATCGCATGGTATCACATATTGACCGTCTTATAGGACCGGATCTGGAAGCCTATTCCCAACGCCGTACCAGCTCTGCTCCAGTAGAGGGCAAAAACCGGCCACCAAGTCGTCCACTCCCATCCATACATGAAGCCCGGGGCGAGGATGGTAACTCTCCCCGAAGAGCATCCGATTCTAAGACAATCAGAGAACGCGCTCGTCTACCAGAACAGAAGAATGGCCGCATTGCTTCTGCTCCAGAGCCAAGAACGTCAAATAAAAACCACACGGATGACAGATTTTTGAAACCGGGCTCTCAAGTTAGAGACACCATTCATGTTGTGCAACCATCGTCTCCAAGAAGTCCAGTAAAAGCACTAGGACCGCTAACCATACGCAAAAAGAGCTCTAGAGGAGGTGCCGTTCCAATGATGAGTGGTGGTTTAAATTCCGAACATGACTCCAAGACAAATAGATATCGTGCTTCTGCGTTTGAACTTCGACAACAATATAATGCTGATGTTGATGCAAAGACGACTAGATATCGGGCATCTGGGGTGGAACTCCGACAACAATACCATCTCGGAGCTCGAGCTGATATAACACCAGAACTTGAGCTTATTGAAGAAGATCGCGACCATGATTATGAAGACCACCTTGGCCATGAAAGTAGCACTGGTACTGTCATTAGGAAGAAGTCTAGTTGGTTCAAGCGCAACTCAAGAAGTGGGGATATGGAGGCGAAGAGCAATTCTACATCTGATCTTATGCCGTCTCAAAGCTCGCACAATGAGATGGCCGAGGATCATCGCGATGCTCTACCTCCCATGCCGACGAAGAGTAAGGGTTTCAGTCTCCGTCGGCTTTTCAAGAAGCGCTCTAAGCCGGATATGACTGTTGCCCGTAAGTTGAAGAGGCGAAGTATGTTTTAATTGTATATAATACTTACTAATCTTTCTCAGCGTATGACATTTACGACGACAACGCATGTATGCAAGATTCAATCGTAGAGGCACAACGACAGTCCCATGCCGGACGATCTGCCAATCATGACGACCCACGAGCTCGACAGATTGAACCACAACAAAACTGGCTCGCCAAGCTATTTCATGTCAAACCACAATCGAAATTTATCTGCTTTTCAGTTAGCAAACGCCGAGCTCGACAGGAGATCACCACTGTTCTCAAGGAATGGCGACGATACGGTATTCGGGATATTCAAGTTGACAAGGAGAGAAATATTGTGTTTGGAAAAGTTGGAGCGAGGAACTGTATGTGCTCATTTATTCTCTGGTCGAGATGGATGTGACTAACCTGGCATAGTTCTCGATATGAAAGAAGTGGCGTTCGCTGGAGAAGTTATGACTGTCATTGAATACGGAAAGAGATCCCATCTCAGCATCGTTCGTTTCACTCAAGAGAGAGGTGCTGCTAGCAGTTTTCAGAAGGTTGTTGAGACTTTGGAAAGTGTTTTAAAATGCCGTGGCATGCTTCTTGGGGATGAGCGCAAGAAGAGAATGATGATTAAAACCCTGAATGCTCTCTAAGTGTCAAGTTTAACAGAGGGATGAATACCATTTGGTCAGGGGGAGCATGATCCGTTGCATATGTTTTCAAAAAGTTTTCATGGAAGAATGCTCCAGTTTGTTGGAGTAGATTTCAATTGTTTTCACAAAAGTGGTTTGCATAGGGAGGTTGAGTCTGCATTTGGGTTTTTTGCTGACGGGATTAAGACACAAATTGTCATAATAATAATGGGAAGAGACCTTGTAGAATAGGATACAACGAGTGCCGTTAGGAAGCGTTTTCTTTCGGGGCAGTAGCAGGCGGGAGTTTAAGGGCAAAGCAAAGCAGAAAAAAAACAGAGAGGAAGACGAGCGCAGATTTCGGTTGTGCAGGCGAAAGGGGATTTTCGGTTCTTCTGTACTAATACTAAACCTATAATGAGTTCGAATTGAAATGGGGTTTTTATATAATTGACCGCGAGTACTGGTACTCGAATTTGTGAGGTATCAAGTTTCGCTCGCAGGCTCGGCTCTGATTTCAGGGGGGTGACTGATCTAGTGGTCGCGCCTTAGAGTGGTCCAAGCCCCCAACTCTTGACTGACTGAGGTGACAGGGCGAAGGCCAACAAAGACCAACCCAGAGAACTGCACTGCTACTCCAACAACCTTACTCTTACCAAGACAGAACAGCTGGTGGAACGGTGATAATGCACCAACCATCACAGATACCGTCACCATATGCATCGCCATCCCATTCTCGAGCTTCGACCAACACCAACATCCAGTAGATGGGTCATTGGATCCACCGTCACTTACTACATGCTCCCGCCCTCCTCCCCCTGTTCGAGCGGCGTCCACGGTCCACCAACCTTTCCCGACGCGATGCAACGGGTCGAGTGGGATCCCGGGACCTTGGGTACGGGCGGAATGGAACTGATGGAACGGATGGCCAACAGATTATCGCGGCGCGCGCCTGACCTCCCTGGATGGAGGAGTGGGGGATCTCAATTGGAGGAGATACAATGTGTTTGTTGCTATGAGTATGTTGAAGATACCTAGGGAGGGAGAAGATGGAAAAGGGATCGAGAACCCGGTACGTGACGTGAGTCGGTAGGTGAGCGATCACAAGTAAACTTTTTCTTTGACTTGCTCATGTCGTGCAGATGGGTACTTGGGTACTTGTGTACTTGAGGACGGAGGGGTGGTCGCCAAGAGAAGAGGGATCAACAGTTCTGGGGATGGGGATTGTGGGGACGAAATACGCCATCAATTTCTCTTCTTTTTTTTGCAGCCAGTTTGACACAACACGGACATCACATTATTGTCCGGGCAGCGGCAGTGGCAGTATGTAGTGGCAGTGGCAGCCGTGGATTCACGGTACCAAGAGAACGAGGGGAAACGAAACGAAACGAAACCATTCAACGGCTATCGTGGCGGGGTCCGTTGGAACTAGGGGGGAAGAGGGTTTGCCAGGTGCTGGAGGCTGGAGGTACAGTTCAGTACCAGGTACCGAAACACTCCGCAAGGCGAGACACACGAACACCACGTCGGGGGTGTTTTGGAACACGACAGGATGCCATTTCTATTCTCGACATGTAGGCAACCTTATGTTTACCTCTGTTGAGGGTGCAGGGTGCCGCTAGGTTGATATGGTTCTGGTTTCTGTTTCTGGTTTCCAAGTTTGGTTCGGAAGCCGTTCGCATTTGCTTCAGATGAATGTGTAAATGTGTACTGTACTAGTACTTGTCCTAGCAGGAAACAGTACTTGGGGTAACTTGTAAGTACTGGTACCATTTCCTTGGGTGAGTGACCCCCTGTCAGCGGAGAGTTTTGGTGGCACTTTTTGACGGAAAGCTTGTGTTCGTTTTTGGTGGCTTAGCAGACATGAACGCGTCTTATTTGTTTTACATTATGGTTTGTGGGGATGCATTGCTTAGATGGCGGCTGGCGTCAAGTATGGCGTCAAGTATCATGGGTCTTATCTGAGCTGCTGTTGATGAGTGTCAAGGGATTCCCAGTTCCTATTATGTCTCTTTTGTTTACCTTTGCACTTTTGCGTTTTGGCTTTCTTTTTGTGGGTTTCTCAGTTTCACGCATTAGCGTTCATCGAAAAATCAGGCAGGGTTAATTCGCTGAGAATTATCTCTCTTCTGATTGGGAACTAAAAATACAGAAAAAGTTGATGGTGCCAAAGGCCATCCTCTAAACCTCAAGTCATCGAATATCTGAGCTCAACTACCAGTCGAGCAAAGCGGAGCCAAAGATGAATAACACACATCCAATCGCCATGGGCAGGTATTCCCTTCCATCCAGTTTCCCAAAGCAAGTCTTTATCAAGAATGCCCCGCTGAAGTATACGCCGCTGCCAACGAAAAAGAAAAGCAAGAAAGAAAGTCATCAACAACGCCTGTGGGAAAAAGAACTAAATAGCCTCCCCGCTTCACACCCCAACTCCAGATCCATATTCGACACCCAGGCCGTTTGTTTTCCCTTTCACTCGTTTTGCGAAACCCTGGAAACTCATCCTACCCTCAACGCCAAACCGCATTTCCGAAAATTTGACCGGGTAGCCCTTTTTTATTACACCGTTCAGTACGCCCACCGTCCTGGAAACCTATTCATGAAAGAAGAAAAGAACAGATGTTGAGTCCCATATACGTTAACGCGTGAAGATTGGAGTCGTAAAAGTTAATGGAAATCATCTCAACTCCTTTTTCACTTCTGAGCCGTGTCCCTCTGTCGAATCGCTCATGACTTCGCTTTTCTCGACAGGTGATTGACTTTCACCATTTGTGCTGTTGGTACTATTCTCCTTACCACAACCCTTCACCAGAATATGTCTCTGTTGGTCAAGTCAGCTTCTAGTCTTTAAAAGTACACGCGCGAAGAACACAACACTGCCTCCAATTACTGCAAGATAGAATAAAGAACGAACCTTTAGTGCATCTTTGCGAGAGAAGCTCTTCTCACAATGGTGACAAGGGAAAGGCTTTACTGATAGGTGGATTCGCTTGTGGCGCTTCAAGTCATGGTTACGATTGAACTGTTGCGGGCATACATCGCATTTGAAAGGACGATCGTTTTGTGCTGGTTGTTGTGGATGATGTGCGTACATTGGCGCGCCCATTTGATGTTGACCATAAGGCATGTTCAGTCCTCCTACCATAGCCATTTGACTTCCTGGGTTGTGGATGTTTGACATGATTGGGCCAGTCATTGCAGGAAGGTTGAAGCCGCCGCCATAGGGTCGGGCCTGGTAAGCCTGTGATGCAGCAACGGGAGAGATCCGGGAAGCTGGTGCTGACGAAGAGTTGGGGGGTGATTGTTGAGTGGGAGAGTGTTGGTTGTAGGTGGGGAAAGAGGATTGCTGGGGTGTTGACGATGGTGTGTAATAGCCAGGTGTTGGAGGCGCTCTTCCACCATATTCTGGGGCGTGAAGAGGACCTTGATTAGGCGCCTGAGAAGCTGATTGGGGACTGACTAGACCATGGTTATTCATTTGCTGGGGTGGGGGTTGCGCGGCTTGTGGCTGTTGTTGTTGGTTTTGGTGCTGTTGATGTTGCTGAGGGGCAAGGGTTGGTAAGTTCTGCTGCTGACCACCTGAAGAGCTCATAGATGTCGGAAATGGAGGAAGACTGATGTCGTATGGCGGAGGTGGGAGGCCATCGCCAGATGCTGGAGAGTTGGTGCTTCGGTTTTGGAAATTCATGGATGGAGAATACAGCGGTCGACCATTCATATAATTCTGTTGTTGCTGCTGCTGCTGTGCATAAGGCGCGACCATTGGAGGCGCGGAGCTGTAAGTGTAGGAGGTATTCTGAGCTTGGGGTGATGGCCAATATCCCATCGACTGAGATTGATATGGAGGAACGCCGCCTGCTGAGCTCCCAGAACTGCCGCTATTCAGACTCGATAATGGACTGTTGTCGTTGGGAAGAGTTGCTGGAGGTGTAAGAACGCTACTGACAGGTGGATGTTGCGCTGCGCTGCTTGGGGCATAGGCCGGATACTTTTGCATTCCAGAGAGATGGTCTGGTGGCGGGAGTTGGAAAGTAGGAAGATTGGAAGCTGCTGACCGACGAGCTGTGAAGCTCTGGGTCTCCATGATCCAAGAGCACGGCGACTTGAGCGTTATGAAGTTGCTTTGCTACAATTTCCGAGCCTTCTGGATAGTGGTTGTTGGGTGAGGTGAAGGCGTCGAATCGAGGAACGTGGTACGGGTGAAGCAGGTACTGAAGGACAATGGCGTAGTGGAATTGCAACAAAGCCAACCCCCAAAGCGGACGGACAGACGCAAGGTGATGATCTGGTGGAAGTCCAGGTATTTGGCTGTATATTGCATACGGGATACAGTATACACTATATCACTTTCTCGTGATTTCTCTCTCCTCCTTCCTCGAGTTTTGAACCAACGTTCGTTTCAACGAGCAAGTCAAGTCAAACTCTTCAGGGTCGTCGTCTCCAAACCCAATAGCCACAAAGTTTGTCGGCGTCGAGGTTCAACCTGGGTTGAGAAAGAATGTGGAGCGGCGATCTGTATGCCGTATGGGCGGGCGCCGGGGAGGAGTTCAATATGTAGCTTATTGGGCATGGGAGGCGCTTCTGGCTGGACGCGGGCGGCGTGGGAAATGCTGGATTCACAGCGGCGGGACACTATGGACTGGGACAAGGGACGAAGGGTGGAGGGGTGAGGAGCTCTCTTTCAGACTTTCACAGGAGAGAGGGACAGGGGGGCACAGCTAGCGCATAAGTCTTATAAGCTTAAGGAAGAACATCCTCAGAGATCTCCAAGACTTTTCTTGCAGCAACAGCAATCCATCCACTCGAGTCCAGTCCAGGGCTAGCAGACTAGCCGCGAATTAGCAGACTAGCAGGCACCACTCGCGGTCAGGTCAGCACCACCATGTGGGCGACGCTTGCTGTGCAGCCCCCGGGATCACAGCCGCTATGGGATGGGATCGTGGATCTGGGACGTGCAAAATGGGCTGATGCCAGATTTGGGGCAGGAAAGAGTCCGATTTAGAGCATAGACTAAGGAATAAGAATCAGGAAGAGCGGGTCAGTAGAGGGGCAGGTTGTGTTGTGTTGTGCTGTGCAGTGCGGTGCGGTGCTATCCTTCGGTTGGGCTAGTCCTCAGTACGTGAGATGAGGATCGTCTAGCGAGCGAGCCATTTCTAATTTCCGCTGCGAAAAACTGGCGAATGTTTCCCATCTTCTGTTTGCTTTTTGTTTGTTTATTCGGTCGTCTTCTGCCCCTTTAGGAAATAATCCGCGTCGCTCATCGATATCAGGTCGAATCGGTGATGTTGGACTGCAGTTGACGTCGAGTCCGCTGCAGAGTGTGAGTTGCTCATCATTGGGAGGGACTGGGATCCTGATGGTCGGCGAGCAATTGATGCACCTGAATGCAGGGAACGAATGGGCGGTAACAGGCGAGACCAGGCCCACGTTTCCGAGCACCATGATTGGCAGGTTACTCGAAAAAGTAGCCTGTGATAACCTGGCCCGTCCTGTCCTGTTCCAGCTGGGAAAACGAAGTGAGCAATAAATCGGCTTTAATAAGACGGTAACTACTTTGGTAAGTTTCGCTTTGTTTATTCCAGCTCTCTCGAAGCAACTCTTCCATCACAATTAGGTGCAGAATGTCATCTATTTCATGATTGAATTGCATCATAATCTAATCTCTACCGAGTACAGTATTTGAGTTAGTTTGCCTTCTCTCGACTCCAGATTCGAGTCTCGTTCTCGCTACCTGTACTACCTCCCTACTGGTACCCTATCGAGTACCCCCTCTGACCGCATCGACCGCATCGCATTGAACTTTGACTTCTTCTTGATAGTTGATAGTTCGTCATCTGGCCTACGTACTCGCTACTCGCTTTCCGATGCTCTACTAATCACGTCTAATCCTGTTCAATTTTGCGGCTGGAATGAAGATGACCCGCCCATGACTCCCTGCTAAGTCGTAAGGGTTATCAACCATCAACCCCAAACAAACCATGGACGGAACTCCCCAACACCAACGCGGGCTTGCCCCCCATCCCCCCAAGCTTTGGGGTAATCATGGGTTTTTCTTGCAGGCATGTGGGCGACACATGCAGGTGCTTGTCTCTTGGCTCCCTTGGCTTAAGCCTGCCGCACTTTAGCACTCAAGTTTCTTTTTTTCGCCGGATCGCTCGCTCCCCACACCCATTAAATCATTGTCTCCTCTGCAGCAAGTCTGCGGCGGAGGGGACCTTCTGACGACGGGGGGGCATACCAAGGGAGCAAATGAACAGAGCCGTCGAGCACACTTGTGCCACACCCATCGTGACACCGCCAGGGTACGAGGGTCGGGAATCATTTGAATCTTTCCCAATACATGGTCAACTAGGATTGGCTGCATCGAGAGGGTGGATCGTACCCGTGAGAATTCGACAAAAAAAGGACTCCATTCATAGCGTACCGAGTGCGAGCTCTCAAGTGTCACACAAGAGTACTGCGTAGAACACCACTATTGTGTTCCATGGCCGTCCGGTGAACTGGATCCGACGCCTCGCGGAGCGATAGCATCGAAGCCGTACAGTATCCAGTACTTTACGGAGTATGAAGTCAGATTTTTAAACATGTGGAAGCCAAAAAGACCTTCCATACGCGAAGAACAGATTAGAACTCTCGCAAGCCTACGCCCGGGCAGAACGTGCTCCAAGAGGCGGGGAGGAAACAGCCAATATCGCCAATTATGGTTAGACTGGATGTTCGCGACGCCTCAGCAAGGGGGTCCTCGTGGTTGATGACCGCCATAGTGGAGTCTGAGCGTCTGGGTCTAGCTTTAAACAACTTAGTGAGCAACTCAAGTACGCAATTTTGGTCAACAATTTGGATTTACAGTATATGGAATGCCGGTGGAAAAATAAACTCTCTGGCACTTTGAGCAAGCACGAGACTTATCGCATTCAAGGATTGTCCCAGAAGAAAGTATGATACCCGATCTTTGGAGTGCTTGATTTCCAAAATGTACGACATACCAGCACCGAAAGTCATGAGATGACTGTGATATGGAGTTTTGCTGCGATCTTGTTTCGTTTGTATTGGCATGAATTAACTCATATACAGGTACATGGTAGCTTGGATCTTATTTGAAATGAAGGGTGTGTTTCCATACCGGTCCTGGTACGTACAGTATGTACCAAGGTATTTGGAAAAGATCGTTTGATGTTCAGCTGTCGGGGATTCGGAGCTTAAAGCTTAAAGCGGGGTGCAAAATGTCCACAATTCCAAAAACCTGGGAAGCTTTCTGGATTTGATTTTCGCTTTTGAAAAGGGATACAGAAGAGCGTTCCAAGATAGACCGGGTCGATACCACTGTACAGCGCTATCCAAGACGAAATCGATTGGAATTCCATCGACAGGCAAATAATATCCAGCATCTGCAAATATTCGTCCGCGCTTGAAGAAATCGTTTATTTTGGCCCATTGAGGTTTGGCTTGTGCCTCCCCGTCGGACGTGTTCTAGACTGGGCTACGCTTAGCTGCACGCCTGTCCCGAAAAGCGACAGCTGGCGTTCGGGGGCTGGAGATCCCATCTCTGGGAGCGTCTGTGCATATGAAAGTGGTGGAGGTGGAAGTGGAGTTGATGATGATGGGAGAAGACTTTGAAATTCTTGGCCCCATTTCCTAAAAAGGCAACAAGACGCCTAAAATCACGTGAGTCTCCCCCTCATGTGATGGTAGATTTCCTCCATCTCCATTCGTACAAGTACACGTTTTTCTTTGAATAATTTCAAATTAATTCAGAAGATACGCTGTACAACGTAGAACTCTGCATACACGATCGTTTATTCTCCGTCAGCTTCATTTTAGGATCCCGTCATACTCAGCAACCAAGACCTCGAGATCCCTTCCACCAATTGTAAACTTCTCTTCCAGACCGCTGTTCCCTCGATATCTTCACGGACAATAACGGGAGAAACCCAGATGAATCGAGGAAGGGTAATCATTTTCTGTATCCGCTTCTGGGTTTTCGGGCAGGAAGCTCGAAACATCACCACTTGCCTATCTCCCCGTAGAATCGATCATATTATGAGATGAGCACTCATAGAAATGGTATAATCAGCATCTACTCTACGACGGCCGGGAAGTTCAGGATTGTCTGACGTTGTGCCAACTTTGGGCCACGGTGACGAGCACGAGGAGAGTGATGTTGCATCAGGAGAAGAACAGGGTCAATTTCTAGTCATCCCGACTGGCTGCAATCACTACTTCACGCCTCTTACCAGCTGTTCGGGTATCATTGAATTACCTGGCTAGATTTGGGGCGCTATTGTTGACGTCCCCAACCAACACGCAGGACCGTGGCATGTTCTGCAATAATGTCGGGCTGGGCGCCTATTCTCAAACTGCTGGAATTTTGTATAATCGTCAGCCCATTAACTGACGAGACGTGAAAGGGTTGTTAATAATCTCAATTCCCTGACCTTATATCCAACATCGGAACATGCTTACATCGGTTTCCTTCAGCCCTCAACAGTCACTACAGGGTTTAGCAAGACAATCCGAAGACTTGCATATAAAGTATTCTAGGCTTTACTTCCAATTCTGGGCCAAACTTCCCAACCCCATAGAAGACAGAGCCGCAATGGCCGCAATTAAACAAGGCTACCATTTAGCCACAGCTTAGATGCACGGGAACGTGATGGTTGTGCGTCGTTCAAGGTTCTCAGGCATATATATGCCATACTATCAACTGGGGTTTTGAGTGAGATTGGAAAGTTGCAGCTTCCCCCTCACCGCAACCCATAAGTGTGGATTCTTTGGGCTGAGAGAGTTTATGCATCCACCAAACCTTGATTCAGATAAGATTTCAGCCATCAAAATCTGTTCGGAATGAACATGCATCAGTAACTGTGCCGTGTTGAGAATCAGCTCTTCCATTTCCAAAAATAGAATTCTTGCTAATGAGTGTAGTCAGCTTTCAATGGAACACTTGGATTGTTCCGTATGTGACGAAATGTCGCACAAGTTCATCAATGTGTAGACGAAGCCGCGAGGTAATTGTTTCTTGGTTGTCAGCAATGTAAAGGGGTGTTTAGAGAGTGGTAAAAGCATGGGTAACCACCCCTTTTTCAACCGATACTCCGTCCAAGACTTGAGCTCGCTAACCATGTGCTTCCCGTCGAAAAATGTCCGCCAAAAACGCCAAATTATCCTGTCAACAAATGCCAAGAAATCCACCCCCCATCAACTTTCCATGATTCCATGAAAGCCATTGCTTTGAGCCTCCAGGAGGAAGGCAAGTGCCCTTGAGGATCGGAAATCGGACATGCCGCTTGTTTTGATGAACCTCGGAGGATGAGCTCGGTAGGGGCTAGTGCCATGCCTTTGAGACAAGAAATCCCATGGATTAGTCTATGCATCTTTTCAGCAATTTTGATAAGATGGATTTCGCAGCTCTCACTCGATTGTCGTGCTAGTGGCATCGCTGATCGTCTTGTACAACTCTGGAAAACACAGCTTCTATCATTAGAAACTCTCTAGGCGGGACAATGTGTCACTCGATTGGCGTTGGTCCCGTCGCGGGAACGGGAAAGAGTTTCCATGAGAAAGAGGGCATTCGTCTCGAATTGCAATTGGGTAGCCTTATGTTCAATGAATGGATATGGTTTGTAAGCTACCGGTAGTGATATTGAATTCATTCCATCTGTACTCCCCCACACACGGGATGAACCAACTCACTTGCATTCTCTACATATCAAAAATCCAATTCTTTTTCATCAACAACAAATAGGAAATCGAGGGGAAACAGCTGAGGCATGTCCGCGCTTCCCCATCACCTTGGCAATATTCGCCACTGAGGATTGAGACCTGCTTCCCGCCCTTGTCTATACTTCTTTGCTTTTTCCCATGGGCCCCTCACTTTCGTAGGAGAGAGCCTTGCTCGTAAGAAATTATGACAGGTCTCAATCCCTCCTTTGCAAACTCTGTGGAACCGGTTGCCAGAAGTGTGGCAGCCATGATTTCGTAGGTATTACTCAATCTGTTGAAAACCAAACAGACGCCTGGACTGCCAGAGCTTACCCCTCTTCCATCGGTAGCGATGGTTTCGAAAGATGTCGCGTAAGATAGATGTTGTGATCTACAATCTGCAGCGAATCTCAGGCCGCAGTACGCTTGGAGGGGATCTTTTCTCCGCACTCTGATCCCCCCCATCTAGATCCAAAAAGCATTGTTCTCTCTATCTTACGCAGAAGCACCAATCAGGCTATAGAAGAGATTCAAGCTCTGTCTAAGACACTTCCCATCAACTACTCTGAAAGCGAAATCAAGAGGTGCCAGTAGAAATCAAGGCAGATTTCGTCGGTTTCAACTGTTGCTCATTGGTCGCGACAAGCAAGGCAGCACAGCAACGCGGTTATCACTAATCGCAGCACCCTATGTTATCTTTGCTGATACGGGCTTGATGTAATGAGTATTTCGTGCAAGAACGACTGAACCACAATAGAACGACCGATGAAGTGGGCCCAATCTGTGGCCGATCGAGCCCAAGATCATTTTGCAACCCCCATTTGCCCTCTGAAGCTACCTCATTCGACTGCCGCTCTGTCCCGACGACATACGAGTTTTGAGTTATCGTCTGCTGCGATTCTCTCTAGTCGCGCAAGTTTGCCTTTTCAGCCCGCTCGAAGACTCTTAATACATACTGTTTGTTGGCTTAGCGAGGGGGAAAGGGGGAACGGGAGAGAAGAAGGGGTTACAATGACCTGTTGGAGGACTAGCAATATTTGAGACAGAGGTTTTTGAGACCAGTCTTGCTTTGTTGGCGCTGTCAGCTTCGTTGTAGGGTATCATGGCCGTAGTTCTTGACATAACCGTAGAAAGCTATAATAATAGAAGTCCTGGAACAATGTGGAGCTAGACAATTCGCAAATTAAGTTAATCATTTAGGGTGTCTTCTGCTTGTGATTTAGGTAGACTTAAAACGAGGAATCAAGAACGGACACCCTCAATGATTGAGACACCAGATCAACCAAGAGGCCCATAAACTCTTGAACCAAACCTAAGTACTCCTTGTCTACTAATAAACATGCTTTTGTCTTTTCCTGATCCTTCTGCTACTAATTCCATACAGGTTCCGACCGTATAATGAGCTGGAATACTGTTCTCGCCTCAATAGAAAACAGGAACTTGTAAATTACACCTTCTCACCACCCTTTTTCAAATATAGGATGTCGAGAAAGAGTTGTTGATAATGGTATCTAAAACAAGATCTTTGTTTAAAAACAGAGAGAAGAAAACCTATCATACACTTAAAGAGCTAAAGGACGTTGGTCTAGCTTTGATATCCCCCTTAGCTCCATATTCTTCGTGCTAAATTGACAGTAAGGGTTAGTGAGCTTTAGGACAAGAAGAAATGGTTAGCCCTCAAGTGTAGACTTTTTCTCATAGACAAATACTTTGTAGCCTGAATATTAGTTGTGATTTAATCCCTTCTATAAATATATCAATTACTACGTATAATATTTCTAATAACAAGCCCTATATAACGGTTTCTTTAAATGCTAGTTGTAGAATTCACTATTGAAAACAATAACACTTAAATAAGAGGCCCGAATAGTAAACGAAGTAGCGTTTCAAACTCTCTAATCTTAACTAATTTAGCTTGATTACGTTTTCCAAATAAATTTACATAATAAAGAAGAAAAGATTAAGTATAGTTAAAACGTTATTTAGTGCTGATTTGGTTATCCTTCGTTCAAATAGGGTACGTGGGAAAGACCCAGAGAACTAATTTGTAGGTATCTAATGGCGATTTGATTTGAATACACGAATCTTAGTATTTCCCTTGAGCAACTGGTAAACAGAACGAAAGTACCACAGGCTTTGAGTCCAGTAAATTCCCAGCACCAAAATTACCTTTCAGCCGTCTTCTAATGCCTACGGAATAAGCCCCAGTATGCTATAGAATGTTGGAAGCATCGGAGAGAGGACTACAAAATAGGGTAACCACTAATTCCAGTACATGCTACCAACTATTATCTATTTGCGACAACCTCGCTCTTACTTCTCAAAGGTCGGTCTATAATTCGGAAAGCCACTAGGCTATTTCGTAGAGGTTCAAGTTCAATCGGTACGAACTTTGCTGGAAAGAAGTCGTGGGATCACATCGATTAACTGTTCGCATATGCCAATCCTCCAGAGCCCACAGAACGAAATCGGCCGAGTCTGCCCTCGCTTTATCATCTGCGATCGCGTCCTTGTATGCGTCTGCTGCTTCTGCTCCGAAGAGGATTTGTATCGTGCCGCGGCAATGTGCGTTCCCATTCCTGTAGGTTGTTGCGAGGAGGAACGCTCCGGATGCTTGACTGCCTTGGAAGCACGTTTCGTCAGCCCGAACGCACATCCGCACATCCGTCGAAACAAACTCCGTCGCTGTATTAATACGAGGTACTGTCATGTACTGGTACGGTGAAGCATTCGGCTACTGATTGTAATATACCATTCCATATTACCATTCAGGGGTGTTGAAGTGTCCTGTCTAACGAGAATCACAGCCGCCGTCGTATTGGTATTCTCCCATATTATAGCCACAAATTTGGGGTCCAACCCCCCATCTGGCAGTCCTTGAGTTGGCCACAAACATTAACAAACCCTGCCTGTTGAGCTGCCGTTTTGGGAAGCACGAATGATGGTTATCGACGCTGATATGCGATCCCGACCCGTGAGATTATTTGTCCATCAATATTGCGGGATCGGCCTGCGATGCCTGACATAACACCATGGAAGAGTGCGGATGACCTCCTGAATTCGCTGGTCAGTTCTGCGACTTCATACTTATAGAGAATCCTTGTGGTTCGTCTATCATTGAGCCTTACCTTTCTGTATTTGTCTGTTTCAACGAATCGGGGTTTTCGTTCATACCCCGTTTAAAGGTTGCTTCTTGTGCAACGAATTAATTAGAGCTATGGCTAATTGCAAACTTTTGCCATTAATTTGCTACATAAATTCCATGTATCTACTGCAATGCACTGATCTTGGATTGATGCGATATTTGCTTGGTCCGGGCTGCTTAGTATGTTATCGCCTTGCTACGAAGCAAGCTTGGGGGATTTGTTACAGAAGCGAAATCCCATCGGTCAGATTGGAGACTGCTTGGCGGGAGGCTTTGGAAGTAGCATTTTTGGCTGCTACAACCTTAGGTAAAGCGGGATTTAGACTAAAAGGTCTTCTCGAATTCCAAATCATCTCCTATATAAACATTTCCCTCTGCTAATTAAGTTACGGGGAGGGGTAGAGTAGATTAACTAGGCGAAATAAACATACTTACTAACGTAGACTATTATAGAGATTAACGTACTATTAACTGTGAAAACCCTGCTCTCTCTTATAAATAACTTTATTAAACTAATCTCTCTTAGCTTAGTTTACTTGGATAGTAATCTTTATAGTATTATGTTCAAGGGTTAAATCTCTATAGGCTTACTAGAATCCATGGTCTTCTAGTAGTAGTATCTAGAGTATTTTATTTACTAATAAAAAAAAACTTATTTCTGTTTAAAGCTACACTTGTCTTACCTAACCTTATTTTTTAACATGTCTCAATTAATGGAATTTAGTGGTTATTATTTAGTAAAATACTTAGATTATATTAATCTAATAGATAGCTTTAAGTAAGTATTTATCAATTAATTTAAGGTATTTAAATTAATAGATATATTAATGCTTTTTTCTCTGCTACGTGCTTCGGATCCTTCGACGACAAGAGCCCGTAAAAGTACAAATAGTAACTTCCTTAGAGGGGAAAGCGGAGTTTTTTAGATAGTTATAGAATAGTTCCTAAATGTAAAACTATTATAAAACTATTTCTAGATAATTTAAAATTATAAAACTACTTTAATTTATAATTATTTATTATAAAAACTATTTTATAATAATTTTATTTATAAATAGTTTATATTTATAACTATTTAAATATAAAATAGTTATAAGACTATTTTACTTATAAATAGTCTTAGATTTATAACTGTATTTTATTTTAATAGTTTAATTTCTAAATAGTCGTAAGATAGTCGTAGAATAGTTCTCGGACGCTCCCGGGACGGTCCCGGGACGCAGTGTAACGAATACTCAAACTGGCTAACTAAACTTGGCTGGGTGTTCGCTGGTTGGTATGCTATGATAAGAAGAAGACTATCGGGTTGTTCACTTGGAAGTGAACTCGTTACTTGTATCAAAGATGTCAAA